TTTTTTTTTTTTTTTTGTCAAAAACTGCCAAAGACAGGCACTTTACAAGTTGGCTCTGAGTTAAGGTTACCTTTCTTCTCAATTAAGAAAGTTTCCTTCTCTGCAGCTGGGCTGTTGGATGTAACGGGATCGATTTTCTGGAATTCAGCCAGCATAAATAAACGTCATGAATGTTTCTTTTGGGCTTGCAGAAAGCTACAGGTATGGGGACCCTTGCCAACCTGAGCTTCCTCTGATTTCACAGAACCACTAAACCCGGTTTCGGGCTTCAAAGGCTCTGTAGGCACCTGGGTGGCTTAGTCAGTTCAGCCTTCGACTTTGGCTCAGGTCATGATCTCATGGTTCGTGAGTTTGGGCCCCAGTGGGGTTCTGTGCTCACGGCTCAGAGCCTGGAGCCTGCTTCGGATTCTGCGTCTCCCTCTCTCGCTGTCCCCACCCCTCCACCCCCGCTCGACCTCTCTTTCTCTCTCTCAAAAATAAATAAACATTAAAAAAAGAATGAAAGGATCTGAAGGTCTGAAAGTATACGGGACCCGGGCTGGCCTGAAACCCAGGCCAGAGCACAAGGTCTGGCCAAGGAGGATGGGATTCTTGACTCAGATTCCAGGACCCCCTTGGTGCTTTTTTGTAGGGGATGAAGGTACCTAGCTTTATTACAGACAACTCTGATCGCGTCTCCTACCTACCCAGAAGAATCCAAGCCCCCCTTTTTTTAGTCTTCTCAGGGAGTTTTGAGGGATCATTCACTATTCAGCTGCCACAGGTGGGAGAGAGGGAGGTATGAATTAAAAGTCCACACCACCAAATCCTGTCTCTGCAGGTGTTGTGGCGCCCACTGTGTGTGTGTGTGTGTGTGTGTGTGTGTGTGTGTGTAAGAGGGGAAATCCAGAACTGCTCACGTCTAGGGGTATTGTCCCTGCTGAGATCTGGCAGCCTCCTGTTTTCAGGCTTGTGTGAGTCGCGGTTCCTGTTTTGTTTTAATGGTTATTCATTTTTGAAAGACAAGAGAGAGGCAGCGCATAAGCAGGGGTGGGGCGGAGAGAGAGGGGGACACAGAATCCGAAGGAGGCTCCGGTCTCGGAGCTGTCAGCACAGAGCCCGACGCGGGGCTTGAATGGTGAGATCATGACCTGAGCCGAAGCCGGACGGACGCTCAACCCACTGAGCCACCCAGGCGCCCCGCGGTTCCAGTTTTTATGGTGGTTTGATTCTTGATGTAGAAAAGGAGAGAGAGACCTTCCAGGACCCATAGGTCTGAGCCCCAGGTTCTTAGTATTGGCTCTAGGCCTCTTTCTTCTGGAACCCTGGCATCCAGCCCCTCAGCTACGGAGAGAAGGAGGAGGAGGGAGTGAGTAAAGTGTGGAACTCTGGCCAGGGAGACACCCCAGGGCCTCCTGGGAGTCGTAGTCCTGCGGCTAGAAAGGGCCACTTCCCAATTCCGTGGCTTGACGCCAAACATTCCAAAAGATCCCAGGCATCTAGCCGAAGCCTGGGCTCAGAAACTCAGGGACGAGAGGAGGCTGAAGGGCAGATGCCCTCGCCTGAGCTGACCAGATGAAACTTCTAGTCTGAGAAGGAGGCCTCTTTGCGATTTCCTGGAACCATAGGCGGAGCCTTCCTTTGTTGCCGTCCAATCGGACTCAGAGTTGGGTCTGTGGGCGGGGCCGAGGAAGCTCCTGGGCGTGTCTCCAGGGAAGTCGCGCCCCCACGTCCGAAGCTAGAAGGGGGAGGCTGTGGGAATTCCTTGTAGATCGGGGGAAACGGTGACTCGGACTCCAGTCACAAAGCTCTCCACATCACGTGACCAACCTCACCTTCGCTCCAGAAACGTCCTCAATTTTAGCCGTGGCAAATAAAGTGGAAGGACGTGACCGGCTCGTCCCCTCTAAAGGCCCTCAGCCTGGATTCGGCCCTTCAGCGAACTCTAGTATTCCAGGGTGCAACATTCAAGGTCAAGGTCCGGCAGCGGCTGTCTAGGGTGCATCGGGACTCCGGACTCCTCGGTTTCCTAACCGAGAA